CCTAGTACTTTGATATTAATAAGACATACCTAAAGCATTTACTACTGTGGTTAATGAAGGCTGCTTAAAACAAATGGAAGAGAAGGCTGTGGTTTTCCTTCTAAGTTGCCCTAACATTGTCCTTCAGGTATCTAAGGGAGTTCTATGTATCTTTAGGCATGATTAGGTAGAGACATTTTTATTGCACAACTTTGATTCTGTATGAATTCTGTCACTTTTCTAGCACTGAGGTAGCTCCTGGGCTCACCACCACCTTAGACGTAGGAGCCCGTTTGTACTATTATTTTGTTATAAATCTTACAAAGGGGAGTGTTTCTTACAGAGCATGCTCCAGGTCCACGTTCTATTTCAGGTCTTTACATTTGGTTTTCATTAATCTTCCAAATCTATGGTGGCTGCATCTTGTGTTTATTTCACTCCTTCTTTGGTTTTTACATTTACTGAGAAATGGCTGTGGTGATTTGTGTCATGTGCACAGACTCTTGGAGAAGAGTTTCAGCATTCTATTTCCGATGCAGTTGTCCTTGGGACTGGGAAGGGTCTGTCAAGCCCATTTTTGGTAGGTACGAATTACATGGCTCTTGATTGGAAAGGGCTTGTTGCATTGCTGGCCTCAAGGCACCAGTTTCTGCAAGGACGTGACCCAAATTGCGGGATAGAGAAGAAACAGTAATTGTCTGTGCTGGCTTCTCTGTAGAGCCAACTTAGATTCTTGCATAGATTGCTATCAGATAGATCTGCTTTGGTACTTAGCTTGAGATGGGTATGCAGAGAAAGGGACCAGAGAAATAATGTTGGGGGAGTAATTCCTAGATGTCAAGGAAGAGATATACAGAAGATAATAGGGTAATTAAACAATTTAGCAGGTACACTGGGTTTTACTTGGAGTCTAGGTGCTGTAGCTAGTCCATCTCTATTTCACAAACCCAAGTAAGCAGTTTTATTATTTCAACCTAGATGTGTCACTAATGCAAAATGGAATGGAGAATTTCAAGTTCCTCTAAATCTAGGGCTTGTTTAAAAATTTTACCCAAGTTTTGAGTTTCAGTTGTGTTTATTCAACAATATTTTAGGTCATTCTCTTTGGAAGGGATTCTTTAGAGTTATAAGAAATTTCTTTAAAAATACTAAGGGGTGGTAGAGGGCTATCTGAGCTGAGTTCCAGAGGTGTTATGGAGATAGCAAATGCCCAAGAGCTCCTTGAATTACAAGAACCTCCCCCAGATTTCTATAATAGAATAGTTATTACTGATTTTTTTCAGTGGCCATTTGAAAGAACTCCTCCTAGTCAGACAAGAGTTGCTATTTGTTGTGAATTCCATACTCATATATGCACCCCAACACGAACACATATTGATTAGATCAAATGCTCCTTGAGTTACTAATCTAACTAAAGTGTCATATTTTTGATCTCTTTTTTTCCATGCTACAAACACATTTTGCTTCCTAATCTTTGAAATTGGTAGCCAATGTTCATTTATTGTGCATTGTGCATTTGAATGTGGGTTTTTTTGTTTTTTTTTTTGTTTTTTGGGGTTTTTTTTTGGTCATTATTGAGTCCACAAGATGGCAGTGTCTTCACAAAAACCCTGAGGTAAACTTTCAAGTGCTCCTGTGTGGTGGTGGTGTGTATTTGTGTGCATGTGTGTGTGTGAAAGAGAGAGAAAGAGAAAGAGAGAGAGGGAGGAGGGGCTTACTGGTATAGTACACATGAGAAAAGAGATTCTTTTCTCCAATTGGTAGAACAGATTCTTTTTATGACTCCTAAAGCAGAAGAATCATGTGTCTGAACCAGACTCATTTTGTTTGTTGGCTTTGATTTACAATTGGAGTCATCAGTGAACCAGGGCAGAAAAGAAGAATGAACTCCTGGAGAGTTTCCGTAGTGATCCTGTGGTTTCAGTTAAGCTGTGAGTTTTGAGGGTCTCTATGGGAACATGAAGTACAATATTTGGGGTTCTTGTCTATTCTAGGCCTGTGTTTCATGAATGTCTTTTCCCCTCTCACTTAGGAAGGATGGAAAGTCTATGATAAGACAATTTCCATTCTGTGGAGTAAGTATCCATTACCCAACCAATCTACACTGTCTGACCATTGTCTTTTTGCTCAGGGGTGAGGAGCCAGCAGAAGGAGGTGGAGCAGAGCTCTGAGTCCCTCAGTGTTGCAGAAGGAGCCATTGCCTCTCTCAATTGCACCTACAGAGACCGTGCTTCTTCGTCCTTTGCATGGTACAGACAGTATTCCGGGAAAGGCCCTGAAATGCTGATCCTCACATTCTCCAGTGGTGACAAAGAAGAAGGAAGATTTACAATGAAGGTCAATAAGGACAGCCTCTATGTTTCCCTGATCATCAAGGATTCTCAGCCGCGTGACTCAGCCACCTACTTCTGTGCAGTGGACACACAGCACTCCCCAGGCACCTGCAGCCTGTACCCAAACCTGCTGGGGCTCCAGGAAAGCCTTCTATAGGGCTCTGCTTCAGGGCAGAGAAATTCTGCTTGGTCTTCAGATTAAAAAGAGAAATCAAAAGTAATAATATGAAGGGTTTGATTGATTAGGGGAGTATTTTTGTAGTTGTGAAAACAATTGATCTTGAGAGAAATTAATGAACAATATGGGTCTGATTGAAATTCTTTGCCTTTACTTTCCACTTCAGTTTTAATTTTTTTTCAAGATATGCTTGGCTATAATAAGGCAGACATATTAAATATGTATGACTTGGTGAGCTTGAAGGTAGGCATACACCTGTGAAATCACCTCCACAACCTATGCCATAAACACCTCGAAAAATGTTCTCCCTTCCTCCCTCCCATTTGTTTACTGAACTATGACTGTCAGGTAGAAATGTGTCAATATCTTACATAGACATAATTTTAAAGAATTATTTATTGTATTTATTCATTCATTCATTTTAACTTTGACCTGAGGGAGAGACACACACAGACACATGTTGGGAGGTGGGTAATGAAAAAGCAAGCAACCAGGTCTGGGACTTAAATCATGGTCAGCCATGTGTTCAGTGCATTAACCACCATGCCTTGGCACCTGCAGGTCCCCTCATTTTTTTTTTTTTTTTTAGAGAGAGAGATTTTTGCTATAGGGCATGTGCACTCTTTGGTGACACAGAGAGAAACAGAGAGACAGAAAGTTAGAAATCACTACCCAGGGGGATAGGTACACCACAGTCTCTTCTCCATTCTCCTCTCAGGATTTTGGACACACTGGCTTGCATGTAGTAGCCGTCCCTCAGCCTGCGAACTTCTCCTGGCCGACTATGTCCTACACGTTGAACTTGGTAGGCTTCTATTGGTGTGGAAGACGAGCGGGTGGACCTCCACACCCAGGGTGGCTACATACTTCTCCAACTTCCCAGCCAGGTGATGCTTCATGAATGTGGCCTTCCCGGTGCCACCATCACCAACAAACACCAGTATAAACTGGACCTGGGGCTCTCCCTGCATGGCCATGGTGTCTTCCAGAAGTGTCTCCACGCCCATCCAACTGAGCTGGAAAGATCTTGGATGTACATTATTCTTAATGCAGTATTGAAAATCTAAAACCTGTCTAGTGGTAATCTTTCTTTGAAAATGATTACCGTGATTTCCACATCAAAAATTTAAGGTAACTGACCCATAAAAAGATGTCATATACAGTAGATAAAAGTACTAAAAACTCTTAGGTATTTAAATTTTAAGTCATACTAATTTATGATATAAAATGATAAACATAACAAATATTCCCAATCTTTCAAGGCACATTAATAAAAGAATTAATAAAATAGACCCCTATTACCAAGTTCACAGTATTAATGATTACATTAATTCTGACAGGGATATCCAAACTAGAGAACGTATTTTTCTTAGCACTTTTTATTTTATTTTACTTATTTATTATTATTATTTTAAAATTTTGCTATAGGGCATGTGTACTCATGAGAGAGAGAGAGAGAAAGAGAGAGAGAGAGAGAGAGAGAACAAGCTGCCAGGTCTGGGACTCAAATCACAGCCATATAGGAGTCCAACACCTTAACTACCATGCCACCTGCTGGCCTCCTAGGGATCATTTTTATTCACTCTGAGACAATTATACAAAAATAAATCTTTAAAATATTATGTAGATCTGATTATTATTTCAAATTGTCATTTGTGGTTTCATTTACAAGCTAGCATAAAAAGAAAAACCTTCCAGCCCAGCCTTTGTGGTGCAGTTGGTAGCGTACCAGTATATAGAGATGGAAGCCACATGCTAACTGTGGTTTGAGTCCCTAGTCTGGTTTCCTGGGGTATGTGTGTGGTTTCCTGGATCTTGGCAGACTGGATGACTAGAGCAATAGGATTGTTACAAGGTCAGGTCCTATGGAGAGTTCCTGTCTCTCATGCATGCACCACATGTGCTCTGTCATGAACAACAATAAGAAAAACTTTAAAAAAGAAAAAAAAGGGTAAGAAAGAGGGAAGACCCTGCTCCTTTAAATATAAAATTGTAGCTCCTTGCTTCTTACCACTGGTTGTGCCAGTTCACATCCTCTCTCTTTGTGCCTTGTGGTCATTCCTTGAAAAACTGAAGAAATCAAAGACTTTCTAGATCAAGAAAAATGAAGATTATGTGAAGTTTTAAGTTGCTGCAGCAGATGCCTTTATACCTTGGCCATCACGGAGAAAGAGAAGGCAGAGACACTAAGCTGTCCCTGCCCCCAGGTTTGGAAGTCAAAGAGCTGAAATGAACCAGACACACTGATTTGAGCAGCACTAAAATTTTAATAATTAAAATGAAAAGTTTACACATAAAGAAGTTAATGACCCTTTAACATCTCATAATTTTTGGTGGAAAAAATTATGAAGGAGATCATACTGCTTCTCAAAAATATTTAGTTACCTAAATTTGCCTTTAAAAATAAGATGAGGTGAAGGGACCAGCAGTTAGCATAATGGCTATGTCCCTGGACTCCCACGTAATCGACTGCAGTTCAAGTCCCGGACCCGGTGCCTTAAATTCACACTGGGCACATGTGCATGTGTGCCCAAGATACCAAGAGGAGAATGGGGGAGAAAGGATTGTGGCATGGCCATCCTCCCTGGGGGGTGACTTCTCGCTTTCTGTCTCTCTGTCTCTCTCTTTCTGTCTGGCGAGCGCATGCGCCCTATAGCAAAAACCTTTCTAAAAAAAATAATAAGATGAGGTGAAAGTCTTGCCTTATTATAAACCTATTTCTACAGTTACTGAAATGTACATTTAAAAATGGTTGTAAAAGAATTTCCATGAACCAAAGAAAAGGGGGCAAATGGTACGTGTTCAAAGGCATTATTCTTTCCCTTCTGTTGTATCAAGGTCTCATATTATTTTTAGTTTCTTTGACTACTGACATTCTTCAGCTTCTTCATTGTGTGCACCTCTTCCAGTTTTATTTTATTTTTGTATCCCTTTTCATTTTTGTTTGGAGTTCAACAAATTATTGCCTTCTTATACATTTTATGACCTTTGCTTTCACTTAAGTTCATATTTTTCAGAAAAGATTTTTTAGTTTAATTTTGCTGTAAGTTGCATGCACTCACTGGAGAGAGACAGAGAATGAGAGGGAAAGTAAGAGAACACCCACCTCCCCAGGGGAGGTGACCTCCCTATAGTCCCTTCTCCCTTCATTCTCCTCTTGGGATTTTGGGCATGCACATACACGCACCTGGCTTGTTTTTCAAGCCACTGTGTCTAGGACTTAAACTGCACAGTCAGTCATGTGGAATCCAGCCACCTTAACCACCATGACACCTGGGTGGCCTGGATTTTTTTTTTTCATTATTATTGTTGTAGCACTTTACGTGATAACTATTATCTTAACAAACATTAGAAGTACCATTCAATATTGTTAACAATAGGCACAATGTTGTACAGCGGATTCATTGATCTTGTGTAACTAAAAGTTTTTTGCCCCTTGCCCATATCTCCACATTTCCCCTTTCTTCTGGACCCTGGAAACTATTCTAGTCTCTTCTTTTATATGTTTTATAATTTTGATTACCTTATTTTTGTAAAAGTGGAATCATATAGTATTTGTTCTATAATGAGCTTCTTTCAATTAGCATAATGTCCTCACAGTTTTTCCATGTTGTCATACTTGACAGGATTTTTGTTTTACAATTATTTTTTAAATTTAGCTTTATTAATTTTATTTTAATTTGGCCCGAGAGGGACAGAGTGAGAGAGATGAGGGGGGTGGGGTAGGAAGCAAGCCTTCAGGCCCAGGACTCAAACCACAGTCGGCTATGTGGGAGTCCTGTGCCCTTAACTACCACACCACCTGCTGGCCCCAGGATATTCTTCTTTTTTAAGGTTGAATAGTATCTCATGGTGTGCATGCATATGTCTCTGCCCTATTTTCTTTACCCTTTTGCCTTTTGTTGGACATTTAGGTGGTTTCCACATCTTGGACATGTAATGCTGCAATGGGCATGGGAAAGAAAATATTTCTTTGCGATCTTAATACTAATTCTTTTAGATAAATATCCAGAAGTAGGATTGCTAGATCACATGGTAATCTATATTTAATTTTTTGAAAAAACTCCATAAAGTTTTCTGTGGTGGCTGCAGAATTTTCATTCTCACCAACAATGTAAAAATGTTCCACTTTCTCCATATCCTCACCAACATTTGTTGTCTTATTTTTTTATAATAGTCATCCTGACAAGTATGAGGCAGTATCTCTTTGTGCTAGCTCATTTCTCTATAATGATTGGAACATTGAGCACTCTCCTTATATGTCTGTCTGCCATTCATATTTATTCTTTGGAAAATGTCTAGGTAAGTCCTTTTTTCTGTTTTTAAGTCCAGGTTATCATTTAAAGATTAAGTTTTTATCAGATGCTTGGCTTGCAAATATTTTCTTTCATCCCATAGGCTGCATTCTTCCTCTGTTGATTATTTTCTTTGCTCTATAAAAGTTATTTAATATGATATAGTTCCACTTGTCTACTTTTAATTTTGATGCTTGGGCTTTTAGTGTCATGTTCAAGAATTAGTCATTGTCAAGACTAGTGGCAAGAAGCTTTTCCTGTAAGTTTTGTTTGGAGTTCAACAAATTATTGCCTTATTATACATTTTAGTTTTAGGTCATATGTTGAAACATCCATTTTGAATTGATATTTGTGTGATGTAAGACAAGAGTCTAATTTGTTTATGTTTTAATTGCTGAAGTGTGCATGCACTTGCCAGAAGAAGAGAGATAGAAAAAGAGAAGAGAGAGAAAGCATCCCTAGTGGGGTGTGGTCATGTTGTAATCCCTTTCTTCCATTTCTCCATTATATCAGGATCATGGGCGCACTTGCACATATGCCTGAAGTGTTTTTCAAGCTCCTGGGGACAGAATTCAAAGGGTGGCCGCCCATGTGGGGTCCGGCTCTTTACGCACAGGGCTTAGCCAATATGCAATGGGAGTGGTTCCAGTCTAATTTCATTCTTTTACATGTGGATATCTAGTTTTTCCAAAACCATTTGTTAAACAGACTATCTTTTCCTTATTATGCATTCTTGATACTCTTGTCAAAGATCAGGTGATTGTATATGGTTGAGTTTATTTCTGGACTTAATTCTGATCCATCGATTTATAAGTCTGTCTTTATGACAGTTCTAGACTGTTGTAATCGCTATACTGTTGTAATACATTTCAGAATAATCAATTGCAGAATTAAAATTGGTCCTTTTCCTGTTTGAGGAAGGTCAAAAATCAATGATAATGGATAGAGAATAAGTCGATACGGTAAGATACAGAAAATTTTAGTTTTTGTCTCTTTATGTAAAAAAATGTTATTGGAATTCTTTTTTTTAAAAGAAAGTTTTGCTTTAGGGTGGGTACAGCTGCTGAAGAGAAAGTTAGAGACAGAGACAATGAGAGGGAATATAAAAAATCACACTGCGGGGGGAGACCACACTGCAATCCCTTCTCCTCTAGTCTCCTCCCAGGATTTTTGGGTATGCATGTACACACACCCAGTATGATTTTCAAGTCACTGGGTCCAGGACTTAAACTGCAGTTAGCCATGTGGGAGTCCAGCTATTTCTTCTGCTGGCCCCACTATTGGGATTTTGATAAGGATTATATTGAAGCTATATATTTTCTTTTGGACATTTTAACAATAACAATTTTTCAACTCATAAATATGGGATATATATCCATTTGTTCGAATCCTTTAATATTTCTTTCATCAATCTTTTGTTGCTTTTAGAGTGCAAGTTTATTACTTCCTTAAGTTTATTTCTGACTTATTCTTTTTCATAGTATTGGAAACAGGGCTGTTTTCCTAATTTTTTTTTTTTTTGGATTGTATGTATAAATGTTAGTGTGTAGAAATGTAATTGATTTCTTTATATTGATTTTTGTGTGTTGCAGCTTTACTGAATTCACTTATTAGTCTTCTAACTTTTCTCATACCTCCATTTGATCCTTAATAAATCCTGTCAGTCATTTCTTCAAAATATGCCCATGATAATGCTATTCTCATGACCTTTACTGCTACCAGTCTGACCCAAGCCACAATAATCTCTTACCAGATTGATTGCAGTCAACCTAACTAACCTTGCTTCTTTTATCTTTTCCTTTCTCCACACAGCTGACAGAGTAATCTCTTTAAAATGTAATGCAGATCATGTCATGTCTGTGCTCATAATTCTCCAATGTCTTACCATCTCTCTCAAATGAAAATCGGCTTCTTTGCTAAGACATGCAAGGCCATCAAGCTTCATGCTACTTCTTTTTTTTCAAGGTTATTGCCATAGGGCATGTCCACTCATCAGAGAGGAGACAGACAGAGAGACTGTGAGAAGAAATGTGAATGTGAGAAATCATCCCAGGGCAGGGTTGAGGGAGCAGGGGATGGCCATGCTGCATTCTTTTGTCCTCCATTCTTTTTCTTTTTTTTTTTTTCTGGAGAGGTTTTTGCTATAGGGCGCGTGCACTCACCAGACAGACAGAGAGAGACATAGAGAGAGAAAGCGAGAAATCACCCCCCAGGGGGGATGGTCACGCTACAATCCCTTCTCCTCCATTCTCCTCTCAGGATCTTGGGCATGCACGCACACATGCCCGGCGTGAGTTCTAAGCCACCGGGTCCGGGACGCAAACCACGGTCGACTACGTGGGAGTCCAGCAACATAGCCATTACATTAACTGCTGGTTCCCTTGTCCTCCATTCTTCTCCTGGGATTTTGAGCATGCACGCGCACACACACACACACACACACACATGAGTTTCAAGCTGCCAGATCCAGGACTCGAATTGCACTTGCCATGTGGGAATCCAGCACCTTAACCACTATACCATGTGCTAGCCCCTCTTTGACTTTGACATCAGCTACTGTCTCCCTGCTTACTCTTTCCAGCCTCATGCCCTGTGACTGTGATGAGGGTGACAGATGTGATTGCTCAGCAGAACTGAGAATAGAATCAGGGACATGATAAAGCTGGAAATTCTAGTAAAAACATCAACGGTACCAATTTATAGCTTTGATTTTTATGACAAAGTCTTTTTTGAGTTGAACTCTGACTTCAAAGTTACTGTAAAGACTTCTATCTTCTCGGGAACCAGCAGTTAGCGTAATGACTATGTCAGTGGACTCCCATGTAGTCGACCGCGGTTCGTGTCCCGGACCCGGTGGCTTCAAACTCACGCCGGGCGCGTGTGCGTGCGTGCCCAAGATCCCGAGAGGAGAATGGAGGAGAAGGGATTGCGGCGTGACCATCCCCCCTGGGGGGTGATTTCTCGCTTTCTGTCTCTATGTCTCTCTCTGTCTGTCTGGCGAGTGCACGCGCCCTACAGTGAAAATCTCTCAAAAAAAAAAAAAAGACTTCTATCTTCTCTTTTACTTCCTTTGAGGGAAAAAAAGAGACAATATAGATAAGGAGAAATGAGAGAAAAAAATGAAAATATCCAGAAAGAGAAGAAAGGCAAGAAAAAAGGAGGGATTAAGAAAAGAAGACATGCAACTGAATTTTAAGGGGAGTAAGTAAGTAATGCATGCAGTGAGGTAGTGTGGAAGCTTTGGGAGGATTTTCCTGTAAATGAATTCTCAATCATTTTTCAAACTACATGTCTTGATATTTTGGATACGGAAACTGGGCCCGTGACCCTGGTAATTTTTAAATACTGTGCTTGACCTGGATGAGGCTCCTATTGCTCCCTCAGCTATCTTCCCCCCTTCTACTTCCCGTGTTTGAATCCTGGATCACTGAAGTAGAGGCCATCCTGGGAGGGCGAGAAGCCCGGGTACCTCTGCCCCTGTTTCAAACTATATGTCTTGATGTGTTGGATATGGAAACTGGGCCCGTGACCTGGTAATTTCTAAATACTGTGCTTGACCTGGATGAGGCTCCTATTGCTCCCTCAGCTATCTTCCCCCCTTCTACTTCCCGTGTTTGAATCCTGGATCACTGAAGTAGAGGCCATCCTGGGAGGGCGAGAAGCCCGGGTACCTCTGCCCCTGTGGTCAGCAGGCAGCCGTCAGTAGGGTCCTGACATCAGCAGTGATGTCAGCATCCTGATGAAAACTGAGGGGGACATCTCTTTGCACCCTGATCCACTGTATTCCTCCTCACTTAAGGAGACAGGACTCACCCTATGCATTACTTTCTTCTCAGCTATTTGAGGATCAGGAGAGGCTTTATTAAGAGAATTGATTTTCTTTTTACAAGTCCACTGATCTCTGCAGGATAGGCTAGCTCTATGACCCATCATTTTCTGCTCTTCCTTCTGGAGTTTTGTGCTGCTTGACTAACCCCAGATTTATATTTGACTCCAGAATGGGATACCTTACTGAGCTTTCTTGGTATAGTTTGCCTGGTGTCCAGAGAAGCTCTTTGGCTCAGGAGAGGAAGTTTTAATCTACCATTTGTCTTCCTAGAGCAAATGTCTTCCTTTGTTTATTTGTATTTTATAACCTGTAGAATTAAAATTGGTCTGTATCCTGTACAAGAAAGGTTAAAATCAATGATAATGGATAGAAAATAAGTCGATATGGCAAGATACAAACATTTTACTAAAATACTTGTGCAGGAGTTTAAATTTATATGAAGTCTGATCCATCAATATTTTCCATCATGCTTAGAAAATCCATGCTCATCCAAAATTTATATAAAGAAAACTTTAACCTTTCTTTTATTTAAAAATGTTAGATGTTATCTCCACTTGGAATTTATTCTGCAGTAGGTGTAAAGACAGGCATTCAAATCTGTTTGTTGGTTTCTAAATGACTCTCCATTCATAACACATTTTAGTGGCCATATCATCTTTTCCCATTTTTATTATAGCTACGTTTTTATGAGTATTGAGCTCTCTATGTGGGACTTCTTGGTAACTTTGTTTTCCAATAAGTATAGCAATATAGTTTGTTTTATTAACTGTGAAAGAAATCCCTTTACATTCTGTCAGAGAATTTGATGGCTTTATGTAGCCTAAGATTATTTGCTGTACTAGATTTGGCCTCTAGAGGGAGATGCCACAAAAATTAAACTCGACACAAAGCCAGAAAGCAACCAAGCCCTCTGAGGAAATGCTTTTTGCTTTGTAGGCTGGGTAAACTCGCCCACCACTCTGTCAGTGTGCTTGTGGCTGCACTGTCTCCAGAAAAGACTTCCAGAAAAGAGCTGCCTGTCTCCTCACAGCTCAGACATGAAGCTCAGCCTTATCTTAGTGCTTGTGGTGGTTTTCAGACTCAGTGAGTATTAACTTTTTCTTCCATCTTTCTATACTTTTCTGATTTAGAATCACTTTAATGAGTCATTATCCTCAGTCTGTAAGACTCTCTCTGACCTAGAATTGGTGTTACAGGAGGATCAAGGGCCCAGACAGTGACTCAGCCGGAGGACCACCTCTCTGTCTTGGAAGGGGACCCCGTGCAGGTGAAGTGCAACTACTCCTATTCTGGGAGTCCTGTGCTCTTCTGGTATGTGCAGTACCCAAACACGGGTCTCCAGTTACTCCTGAAGCACATCTCAGGAGAAAGCACCAAGGGCTTCACGGCTCATCTTAACAAGGGAGAGGCGTCCTTCCATCTGAAGAAATCAACAGCTCAGGAAGAAGACTCGGCCACGTATTACTGTGCTCTGAGTGGCACAGCAGCTGGTTTTGCAAAGGAAGCAGAGCACAAACCCTTTAGGACTTGTAGAGAATGTTTCCTCTATATGGGCACAGATTCTAGCCACCGACATTGAGTTTACCTCTTAAATATAATGCAATATCATCAGTTATCAATTAAGTATATATTTACATCAAAAATGTGTCCAGAAAAATTCTTATTACCTATGCTGCTTAAATTGGTTAACAAATAGTACTTGTATTCATTCTGTCTAGTATTGGGTCACTGGTAAAGTCATGATATGTTTTTCTATGCAAAAGTGTGTCCTGAGTTTTCTGACTACACAATAATACCTGCAATAACTATGTCTGAAATAAAAACTACATAGCACAGTTGAGGTCTATCCCAATGTGGCTTTTCCTGTAGCTGCACATCGTTGAAAACGCCTCATAGAGTAACAGTGTGGTTTGCTTTACTCACAGGACTATTTGTTAATTCTGTGAGAAAGAACTACATTACAGAATAACTAAAAGTATGAAAGATCTCATAATCATTTTCTTATCCAGGTATTAACACATCCCACAGATGATGAGGAACAAGTCTGAACTGATTTCCTGTGTAGAAGGTGTCAATTTGAAAAACAGGCAGATGCAGCCATGCTAGAAGTGGCCCGAAGTCAATTATTTAAAGAAATTGGATCCCAATGTTCCTGGGTGGACAGACTTTGAAGTTACCAATATGTCCATAGTTCTAATGGAGAAAAAGGAAGACATGAAAAAATTGTGGTAGGGCTGACAGGACAACTATGAATTAAGTACCAGTTCTTTTAAAAAGGACTATCTTGACTTGGGCCTTGGAGGAATGAAGGTGGTGGTGTCCATGGTGAGCAGTGAAAGGAATCAGAAATTCAGATATTCCTTAAATAAGAATTTATTGACTCTTAAATAATTTTGCTTATATACATTAAAACAACCCCGGAAAATCAGCATGTATTTTTGTTTTTGGCTTGAAGTTTTTCTAGTGTTTTCTGTGGAAAAAAATAAAAATTTGTTACAATTGGTTAAAAAAAAAAAAACTACATAGCACAGCATAAAAAGCATTCTTTTTTTGGTACAAAGGGACTCTCTGGAATTTGGTGGGGCAGTCCCACCTCTCCAATGTCTTTGCCAGCTCATTCCTCTGTCACATGTGTTCATCACAACATACCTAAGCTCAGGTCCTACAGTACCATGCTGGGGACCAGCGGTTGGTGTAATCGTTATGTCTTTGGACTCCCACATAGTCGATCAAGGTTTTAGTCTTGACCAGGTGGCTTCAAATTTCCACCAGGCCCATGTGCGTGTGTGCCCAAAATCCAGAGAGGAGAATGGAGGAAGATTGCAGCCTGACCCTGATTTCTCGCTTTCTCTCTCTGTCTCTTTCTCTCTCTGTCTCTGTGGAGAACGCAAACACCCTATAGCAAAAGTATCTCTTAAAAAAAAAAGAGCACCATGCTGTTTCATGTCTTATGTTTGCTGACTTTCTACATATAATGCCTTCTTAAAAAAAGCACTTCATAGACTCTTTCTATCTCAGGCAGAGTCCGGTCAGGATGAAAAGCAATATATTAGGTTTTCAGGAAAGTCATGATGTATTTTTGCATAGAAAAATACATCATGACTTTTCCAATGACCCAGTAATAATCTGAACAGATAAAGCTTAATATAAAAATTTATTAAATAGTAATAGGGGATTAACTAATTCTTTTTTTTTTTAAAGGTTTCTGCTATAGGGTGTATACGCTCACTGGAGAGACAGAGAAAGACAGTGAGAGGAAAAGTGAGGACTCCCCTAGGGGGGATGGCCATGCCACAATCCCTTCTCTTCCAATCTCCTCTTGGGACTTTGGACGAAGTCCACACATAGACGCAGGATGAGTTTCAAGCTACTCAACCTGGGACTCGAACTACGGTGAACGAGTAGGAGTCCAGTGCCTTAACCACAGCACCATCTGCTGGCCCAGGATAAACTAATTTTAATGGATAAAAATAATTCTAAAGAATGTAGGAAAAGCACATGTAGGGAGAAACTCTCATCTCTAGAGCTAAGCTGAGTTCCAAAGGAAGGAACAAATTAGGATAAGTATAACCTCCATTCTTCCTAACAGGGCTATGGTTCAGACCTTATTGGGGGTATTAGCTAGAGCACTGAAGGTGAGCAAGAGGTCATTCTTTCGTGTTGATGGGACAGTCTATATCTTTTTTTTTTTATTTTTAATTTGCTATAGGATGCGTGTACTTACTAAAGATAGAAAGACAGGGAGAGTGAGAAAACACTCCTCATGGGAGGATGGCCATGATGCAATTCTTTCTATTCCATTCTCCTCTTGGAATTTTGGGCACACACATGTGCCCAGCATGTTTTTTAAGTTGCCTGCTTTGGGACTTGAACCACGTATTTGGCCATGTGGGATCCAGACACCTTAACCATCATGCCTCTGGCTGGCCTGGAACAGTCTGTATCTTGATTATAGTGGTGATTATATGAGGTAAAAATTGCACAGGACTACCCACAGACACACACACACACACACACACACACACACAGAAAGAAAAGCATGTGAAAATGGTGAAAGCTGAATAAAATCCATAGTCTAATTAATGGCATTGGAACAGTGTCAACTTCCTTGTTTGCACATTGTAATACAGTTATATAAAATGTCACGAGCAGAAGCAGCTATGTGAAGAGTGCATAGGAATCTGTAACTATTTCAGAAACTTCCTTTGTGTCTATAATTTAGAAATAAATAGTATGAAAGTTGAATTCTTTACTATCTTTTCCCATCTCTTTTAAACAATTTTTTTTCCATGAGAAAGAGAGGGACAAAGAGAGAGAGAAAGAGAGGAGTGTTCTCCCAGGCTCCTCACACTGTGTCCCACCCATTTCTTAATCAAAGGCATGCTTGCATGTGTCTGGTGTGCTCAGGGAGGTCCCAGGATGTGACCCCAGGGCCTTTTCCATGTGGTTCCAGTTGTATTATCGCTAAGATAAGATACCCTATCACTGCTTATGTTATCAGGAAAATTATCAAAAGTTGGGTAGATATCAAGCCCATGGTAGTGGATGCAAATTTTCCAAAGTTACCATTTTCACTTGAAAACTCAAGTATCGTAATGGGCAATGTACACTGTCAGTTGTTCTTGCAATGGCAGGCCCATTTCTTTCACTTCCAAGACCGTATTTGCCATCTTCCCAAGTCTGCTGTCCTGCCACTTGTGCATTCAAGTAACAATGGAGTTTCATAAGAGAGCAGCTAGTTCCCAATCCCAGCCCGAACAGCGCTGCTGTGCTTTCCTTGAGACAAATGCACTCAGTATATCGTGGGTGTTCTTCAACTGTACCTTTTATTTTATCACTAGGAATATTAAAAGCTACATATACTCAAGGGCCAAGATAATTCAAATATTTCTTACTTCTTCATTAAGTAAAACTGTTTCTTTTGCAGGTGTGTGGTGGTGATAAGAACAAACCGTGACTACCAGCACGTGTTGGTGTCATCGATCTCACTTGGATTAAGATGCCAGCAATTGCTTCTGCTCCATCGGGATGAATGTCTCCACGGTGAAAACCCCAAATAATATCTTCTTGTTATTTTGAAAATAGCGTTCACCTCGAAGACTACCTGAAAGACCCTCAGACCCTTCAGTGAGCCACAGATGCATTTCAGATGTGCTATTCTGGCACTCAACCTGATTCTCTCTCTGGAGGGTAATTGCCATTTTCATTGTTTAACTAAGAACTTGTAGAACTTTACCACTTATTTAGGGCAAATAAATAATTCAGTGTCAGATGGAAAAGACTGAACAAATGTCTTACAAGTTTGGAGGTGGGAGGCCACATTAACACACAGCTCTGTCCTGGCAATATTTGTTAATTCTATACAAAAAAGGGAATAATTCTCAAAACTTTCAGATAGGAAGGAAAAAATGTTACATCTCCAGATTACATTGTTTTCTAAAAGGTTATACGGAAAATCAATTTTTTTTCCTTTGTGAGTGGGAGGAAGGGAGAGATTTAAATAATTTTGTTAGGGTCCCACCATGCCATGCTCCTCCTACCCCAGACTTCCAATTAGCTAGGATTACAGGCACATGCACGTGTGCCTGGCTGAACTGTGTGTTCGGATTGGCCTGGGAGCTGAGCCAGGGCCTCCTATGAGGCTCCAGTCTCGTAAGTCACGGTGCAGTTGTGTACCACCATAGCCGGGCCAAAGATACACTTTTGAATGCCCTTTTGCTTGAATATTTCTTTATTTTTCTGGTTAGTATTCCATTAAATTAAAAAATTTATTTTTCATGTGGTACAAACTTTCAAAATTTACAGTTTCTTATTATTATTAATTAAGATTGATTGTGCAGCAGTAATGCCATTAGACCCACATGGGAAGGTCCTCAGGTCACCTCCTGAGCCTCCATGTTAGGTGTTAAGCGTGCCTGTCCGTGGTAAGGGATGACTGAGGCTGGGAGTAGGTCATGGTGTGAAGACCCTGTGGAGGTGGCTCTCCGTCCAAAGAAAAAAAAATTAAAGTTTAAAAAAGCAAAAAGATGAATTTTTATTAATTTATAACATACATAATTCAACTTTATTTTAGATTTCTTATAAAAGCTTTTCAATTTTCTTAATTTGCTTATGTTTCTTCCCAGATATTTAAATATTGTTGGTGTTATGAATAGAATCTTTCTTTTTCAGTCTTTTATGAATAGAATCTTTTTTTGCTTTTTCTTGACAAAGTTATTGTCAGAGATCGTTTAAAATGTGTATGATCTTATCTTTTGCCTTAATTAAAAAATAAATGTCAGTTGTTTTTGACTATTGGTTATAGCATTTGCAATGGTTTTGAATAGATATGCTTTATTTTGTAACAAGACTAAATATTTTAATTAATCAAGAATTTGTATAAGAAAAAGATTTAGACGTTTGTTGACTATTTTTGGTTATCTTACAGTATATATGGATTTTTTAACTGATTAATTATATTAACAAATTATTTTATGACTGTCTCCTTCTGGAGTTGGAGGGATGCATTTTATCTGTCATAAGTACCCTTTTTCTTCTTTCATTCACTTTTTGAATGGTGAATAGATTTTCACGTTTCAG